ACAGCGCACCGCAGAAGCTATGATTATGAATGTGTCAGGGGAAAACAATAAGGAGGCTGCATTAACATTTTAATAATTCACTGATAAACTAGTGCTTTCTTTGTTCTCGGTTTAAGAGATGAAGTCGGCGACACTGACTCGTCATCTCCGCAGTAGTGCTGCACCTGTGTGCATGTTTCACACAGATTAATCTGAGAATATTTGTTTTCCATTTGAATTGGTTCATTTGAAAGTAGACATTTCACTCTCTATAGATATATTTTATATGTCTGTAAGGCAAAGATATACACGGAGTTTCGCGCTCAAGTTCACAGAGACCGAGACGGCAGAAAGCGCATCCTGTTCGCTTTCATTATTTCACGAAAGCGTGATTTGTTGTTATTGTGAGTGCACACAAATAAACAGAGTCTTTACAGATTTGAAAGATGTATTACTCTTATCTGTATGAGCAAAAATTACGGAGTATTTTAAGAGCAAGTGACGCACCGGCGCCTCCTGCAGTGAGCGCTAATGTTCAGCTTCCACACAGACACTTGAATAGTGGACATTTCTCTAGCTTAACATTAGATTGAGCGGACATGTATAGTTGCTAATACTTATATATTTCAGATGATAAGCCATATCTGTGGTGGATGATTGATAGGCGAGCGTTTGGACGTCCTGCCGGATGCACTGTATTACCATAGACCAGCCGTTAACGATCTGCGTGACTTTGCCAATGTGGATTTTTTTTCTTCCTGCGACTAAAACAATTTTGGTCGACCACGCCTCTTCTGGTCGACTAACGATTAGTCGACTATTAGGGGGCAGCCCCTACATCTTAATTTAAAATTTTTACATATTTAGAAACAAGACAAAAATACTAAGTAAGATAAGCTTTTTTTTTTTTTTTTGCAGTGTATGATCAGTTTTTGTCTTGTCTGTGAGATCAGTGCAAAACCAGCCTGTTTAGCTTTCAAAGACGTCATGAGGATCTCTCATTAATCCTACTCACCGATTCCTGACGGACGATGGACTGGAAGCAGTGATACGTGCCGCGGTACAAGGGCTTGTCCACGCTCTGAACCTGCAGTCTCACCTAGAAAATGGAGTTTTTCCCATTAAACCTGCTGTGATCAGGCCACGAGTGATGGTTGAGATGCAAAAACACAGCAGAAATCACACAGAAGTGAATGAATCTAGAGCTGATGTTTGACCATATTCAATAAGATTCCAGTCCAATGGAAAGAGAGGAACGGACCCGGGCTTTACTTACGAGCTTAACCTCCGAGCGGCCGGTGTAACAGCCTCGCTCTCATCTACAACAAAGTGACACTTTTGCTGTAAAAGACCCTTCAGCTGTGAACTCATGATCAGAACAAAGGCACCAAGGCAAGACGTATCTTGCCCTTTGCCTTTAAGTACAAAAAACACTCTGGGTTTTAGAAAAGTGTTAGTTTTACGGCAGCGGCTCACAGAAACACACACATGTAACTAATGACAATAACAGACCATAATACTCAACACAATACACTCTGAGCATTCTGTCTCTCCGCTGATGCTTTTTAATGCAGGTATATCATCTAAAGGCATGCGTCTTGATCAGGGTTAATACGCATTTAGGCATTCGATGGCTGCTTTTATCCAAAGTAACACATCGCATTCATTTCAGTAAATGCGTACAATCTGTTCTTGCACAGGAACACACAAACCTCAAGCTAAAACATTGAAATATTAAAGCCATTTATCATTTTAAATAGATTTTAATTGATTATACGATCTAATAGATGACGATTTGTCAAACTGTGAATGCAGAAGCTGACAAACGTGACTGACTTTGTAAGACAATTTGTGCACATGCGTTTGGTGTTTAAGATGAGCTTTAGTAGTAGATGCACTCTTTAAAATAAAGCAGTTTTTGCAGTGATGCCATAGAAGAAGCATTTGTGACCCTGGAGCACAAAACCAGTCATGAGAGTCAATTTTTCGAAATTGAGATTTATGCATCATCTGAAAGCTGAATAAATAATCTTTCCATTGATGTATGGTTTGTTAGGATAGAACAATATTTGGTTGAGATACAACTATTTGAAAATCTGGAATCTGAGGGTGCAAAAAAATCTAAATATTGAGAAAATCATCTTTAAAGTTGTCCAAATGAAGTTCTTAGCAATGCATATTACTAATCAAAAATTAAGTTTTGATATATTTACGGTAGGAAACTTACAAAATATCTTCATGGAACATGATCTTTACTTAATATCCTAATGATTTTTGGCATAAAAGAAAAATTGATAATTTTGACCCATACAATGTATTGTTGGCTATTGCTACAAATATACCTGTGCTGCTTATGACTGCTTTTGTGCTGCAGGGTCACATATATGCTTCCCCAAAGAACCTTTCAACGAAAAAAGTCATAAAAGAACCATTTTTCTTAATTTTTAAAATAAAATTTTACAAATCTAAAGAGCTTTTTTTCTGCTATAAAGAACCTTTAGGCTCCATGGATGTTGAGGGGTCTTCATGGGCCTTTATTTTTAAGAGTGTAGAAGAAGCATTTTTGGTTCCTCAAAGAACCTTTCAGTCAGTAGTTCTTCTGAGTTTTACTGGTTTAGTCAAAGCAGACGTACCTTGACCGTATCAAACGGATGTCCGACCAGCACGCCTGCGGCTCCTGAAACATGAACGCCTGAGAGTGAGTTCAGACTGTTCGAACACCGTCAGCATGATTAGGAACGTGTCTGAGCTGCAAGCTACTGATGCAATGTGTTTGAGCGGAGTCTGAGGCCAGCTCTTCAGCCTTGACCCGTGCGAATGAAAGACACCTGCGTCATTCATGCATGAGGCAAGAGCTGTTTGACCAATCGATGTAAACATCACACGATCATCATCTGCAGACAGCAAAACTAACTCACAGACGTCTTCATGCTTCTCAAGATCATCTTCAGTTCTTATCACACTGCAAAAACTTAGTATTTTGTCTGGTTTTCTAGTATTAATATATAAACATTCTTCAATCAGGATGCATTTACTTGACAAGTAACATGACTTAAGATATGTCTTGTTTTCTGAAAAAATTACAATTTTAGTTTTAGCTTAAAACAAGCAAAAATATCTGCAAATGGGGCAAGAAAAATCATCTTAATTCAAAGGCTAAATATTATTTTCTTGCCCCATTGGCAGATATTTTTGCTTGGTTTAAGGTAAAACTAACAAAATTTTGTTTTTTTTTCTCAGAAAAGACAATTATCTTAAGTCACTTGTCAAGTCACCTTTATTTATATAGTGCTTTTAACAATGCAGATTGTGTCAACGCAGCTTTACAGCATTAAATAGTGTGTCAATAATGCTAAAGGACAATAGTAAACACTCAATTTTCAGTTAAATGCAGTTCAAGTAAATGCATCTTGATTGAAGAATGTTTAGATATTAATACTAGAAGACAAGACAAGACTAAGAGAATCAGTTTTTGCAGTGCAGAATGACTGTTTGATTCGGATTCGCTCAGATTAAATGCATGAGGATCAGGATCATTGTTTATTGGCTCTTCAGATGCTCACATTAAAGTATTTAATGACATTTGTTGGATCCCAGTGTGGGATATTAGTCAGAAGAGTGGAAACGTCTGGAGTCAGTGAGCTGACAGAGTACAACGGGTAACTAGCAATCAGTAACTAGAGTTATTCTCTACTTCAGCAACTGGATTAGTTCTCATTTACTCTGCATGTTATTTGACTGAGTTGAATGTTTCAGTGAGCGTGTGCAGGTCTTCAGTCAGCCGAATGAAGCATGTCTTACCTCCAATGCATCCTGCAACAAAGTCCAGAGCCATTCCTCAGATGATGATGAAGATGAGTGTGGGTGTCTGTGAGCTCTGATCCTCCAGCAGCAGCAGCAGCAGGGTTTGTTCGGTCGGTCAGTTGCTGGACGTCTGTGCTCATGAGCAGCTGCTGCTTCTGTGCTGCTATTTTTACTGAATGAAGTTGATATGAAGGGGAAAGTCCATCTGTGACCAATAGAAGCTCCAGGATGAAGAAACACCCCCATCATCATCATCAAAGCTCATACCTGCATGTCTGCTTACAGACACTGTTGAGTAAAACAGCTGCATTTTCTGTAGATCTCTCAGATCCAACTCTGCAGTGATTTAGAGAGCAGAAGAACTTGAGTTCATTGTAATATAGTGTTGTACACAGGGCTCGACTTGAGGAGGGATGGCATTCCCCTGGTTGAAAACAAAAGACAAAAAGCATCCCCTCAGTAAAACCACCAGATGTTTTCAGATTTGGAACGAATCGAGTGAGTCAGTGATTCAACAGTTCATTCAGATGGACTCACTTGTTTCGTTTCTAACTGAATCAGCCGTTTTGAACGAATCGTTTGATTTGAATGATTCAATAAATCATTTATTTAAACATGGACTTGCTGCCACCTACTGGCGGTTTTATTGTCATCATTATTTATCCACGACAGGCCTAAACCAGACAAGGTGCCAGCACTACCAGCACAAAAACATATTTAGCAAAATATTGACCAAAAATTCCTCCATTTCTGGCACCAGAAGGAAAAAAGCTTATAAATAATAGTTCATTTAATAAGGCAAATTTTTCATTAAATAAAAACCTTTTAAAAATTACACAAATTTTGTAATCATTATGTAAAATTAGCTACAGGAACAACTTTACCGAAGCTTGTGTAAATCCTAGTTTAGAAACAGAGAAACAAATAGAGACATAATTAGCGTAGCTGCTGTTCCAACCAAGCAAAATTGATTTGTTTAACCCAAACTAAAGAATAATAATGTGCATTTGATCAGATATAACTGCAGTACAAGATTATGATATGCATTATTTGAATGCTTGGCCAAAGAGATGTGTCTTTAATCTAGATTTAAACAGAGAGAGTGTGTCTGAACCCCGAACGTTATCAGGAAGGCTATTCCAGAGTTTGGGAGCCAAATGCGAAAAAGCTCTACCTCCTTTAGTGGACTTTGCTATCCTAGGTACTACCAAAAGTCCAGAGTTTTGCGACCTTAGGGAGCGTGATGGATTGTAGCGTGGTAGAAGACTAGTTAGGTACGCAGGAGCTAACCCATTAAGGGCCTTATAGGCAAGTAATAATATTTTGTAACTGATACGGAACTTACTTAATAGGTAGCCAGTGCAGAGACTGTAAAATTGGGGTAATATGATCATATTTTCTTGACCTGGTAAGGACTCTAGCCGCTGCATTTTGGACCACCTGTAGCTTGTTTATTGAAGATGCAGGACAACCACCTAGCAGTGCATTACAATAGTTCAGTCTAGAGGTCATGAATGCATGAACTAGCTTTTCTGCATCAGAAACAGGTAACATATTTCGTAGTTTGGCAATGTTTCTAAGATGGAAGAATGCTGTTTTTGTAACATGGGAAATATGATTTTCAAAGACAAGTTGCTATCTAATATAACACCCGGATTTTTGACTGTAGAGGAAGTAACCGTACATTCGTCTAGTTGCAAATTGTAATCCACGAGATTCTGTGTACTGTCTTTTGGTCCAATAAGTAATATTTCTGTCTTATTCGAATTTAATAGGAGAAAATTATTGGTTATCCAATCTTTTACATTTTTAACACATTCTGTTAGCTTAGATAATTTAGAAGTTTCATCTGGTCTTGTTGAGATATATAGTTGAGTATCATCAGCATAACAGTGGAAGCTAATCCCGTATTTTCTAATAATATTACCAAGGGGTAACATGTATATCGAAAATAGCAGAGGACCTAGGACAGATCCTTGTGGCACTCCATACTTTACTGGTGATAATTGAGATGAAATGACTGAAGACTGTTGGCGTGTGTTAAAGACGCTCATGTTTAACTCATATCAGGGATTTACCCATTACAGTTTTTTACGATTGCTTACACACTAAAATTAAACTTTTCCAACAATTAGCAAAACCTTACACTCAAGGAGCAAAACACAAGGCTAGATTTGCACAACTGTAAGCACATTACGCCTGTGACCAAGTCGACGCCGCAGCTGTGCAAGGATGGATTCGACATTCAAGACGGTTCTTCCCGCGTTGTCTTGCTAATGAGGATATTGCTTGTGATGTTGATGAAATTCTCTGGCCAGATCCAGCTAGGCGAAGAGATAATGTATAGTATGTTTACTGTAGTATTTTCTGTACAATATTGTCAGTTTTTTTCAGATTATTTTTTTTGTTGTTGTTGTTTACTGTAATTGTAACCTGTACTGGATACAGTATTTTACGTTTGTCTGTTGTTTGCTGAGCTAACAGTGTTATGCACACTACTGTAGTAGCATGACAACTGGGACATGTTTTGTTGTGATTCTCCATGTTGACTGATTTGGGTATATGGAGAGAAATCAATGATATTTTTGTCAGTCTGCAGCATTGGTCTTGTGTAGTGTTTGGTGAACTATTGTATAGTTGCACTTTCTCTGTGTACTTCATTTACAGTACTCTAATCACTGAGAATTAGACTTGCTAAAAGTGTTTTAGGTTAGCAACAGCAGTGTGTAACTGGTTCAAAAAGATTAAAGTCATATGAAATGTGTGTGTTTCGTATGGTAACAAAATATTGTTTTTATAAAGTTGTGTATAGTTTTGACAAAAGTGTTCCATTTTGCAAATGATCTGAAGTGTTGTGCTACTTTGGTGTAGGGTTGTGTTAATTGTGTGTAGTGTTTTGACAAACCGGGCCCTGTTTTCAAAATTGTGCTTAAGCAATCGTAAAAAACTGTAACACGCTTTCTGTCAGGTGTGTGTCTGTTTTACAGATGGACTGTGAATGCATCAGGTGTTAAATGCACCATTTACTCGTGAGAATGTTCACTGGATCAGCAGTACTGTAATGATGACATTAAACATCAGTGTGTCATTATTTATTGGTCACAGGCAGCTTTATTAGACACGAGCAGAGCAGCATGATGATGATGATGATGATGATGATGATGATGGTCTCGGTGGTTTCTGTCTCTAGCAGTTGAAGTGTAGTTTGCGAGGGCTCATGAACTGTTGTACGATCTCGTCCGTCACGAGTTTGCGTCTCTCCTGATGCGCGGCGATCATGGGCTGAAGCGTCTCGATTAAACTCTTCTTCAGTTCTCCGGTGAGCAGCGCGCCGCTGCTGTAGTCCTGCAACACAACAACTAGTTTACTATCACCCGGATAATAGCTCTTAAGGTTACACTTTCCAATAAGGTTTCGTTTTTTAACATTAGTTCATACGTACTCGACTCCTACAGCACTTATCAATCTTAGTTAAAGTTCAACATTCACTAATACATTATTAAAATCAAAAGTTCTGTTAGCAGTAGTTAATGCACTGTAAAATGTTTTATTAACACATTAACAAAGGTTAACCCTTTAACTGTCACTCCCATTTTTGAACATAGATGTTAAAGTGCACTATCCAAACTAATTCATGAACGAAAACATTTTGTAATATGATTTTGGTGTAACGTTTCCATGGCAATGCAATGTCTGATTTTAAAATGGTTTTCAAAGGATGAATTTTGAGATTTTAAGTGTTCAATTGATATATAATTTATGATTTCTAAAGCGTGATTTGTGACAGAGGTCAGAACTCCTGTTATGATGTAGATTTTTGAGGTGCACTCTTGTCACAAAATAATCTATTACTTTTCCTACATAATTTGTAACGTGTAAAACTGGTAAAATATCTATTTAGGAGTTTTACACCTTACCAATGATATATAGTTTGTCATGATTAGATTAGGATTTATTTGTATTATAGTGAAGTAAACTTGGGCTGAGGGGACGGGTGACAGTTAAGAGGTTAATTAATACATTGTTTATTCTTAGTTAATGCCTTTACTTATTGTAAAGTGTTACCTTTTTTATTTATATTTAGAATTCATTATATATATATATATATATAAACATATTTGCCACTTTTATTTTAAATTGAAAGGAAGACTGTTGTGTGTATTGGTCATTTTTAATAGTTTTTTTTAAAAATATGTACATAGTTTTTAATTATTTTTTATTTCAGTTTTAGATATTTAAGTACAAGTTAAACTAAATGAAAATGATGCACTGGCAAGTTTTTGTCATTTTCCCTTTTTTTAATGTCTATAGTTTTTTATTATTTTTTATTATAGTTTTAGTTTAGTACATAAAGTAAATGAAATAAGAAATGTTGCATTTTATTTTTTATTTGAAGAAATGTTACTAATTATAAATATTTTACTTTCATATTTGATTTTACAGTTAGTTTATTTCATTTCAAGATACAAAACTGTTTTTCATTCTAATAATAATAATAATAATAATAAACATTTATTTGTAGAACTCTTTTCATACATGAAATGCAGCTCAAAGTTCTTCACAAGATAAATAGGATCAGTGTTGGGGAAAGTTACTTTTAAAAGTAATGCATTACAATATTGCGTTTCTCCCTAAAAAAGTAACCAATTATGTTACTTAGTTACTTTTTGTGGAAAGTAATGCGTTATGTTACTTTTTAAATCTGGGCAGGGCTTGCTTGTTAGTTTTTAATATAAAAGTTCTATTTTTGGCAAAAATAAAAGCCCTTTCACACCAAACGTGAAGTGAATCAGCCCCAGGCTGAAGGAAAAGCACATTTAAAAAACATTGGTTAATAAAATGGGATTACACACAGGATATTTGTCTTATTTAACACATTTAATTATTGCAGGTTTGTATAATATTCTGAGTTTGCATTTGACTGTTTTTATTGATTTTGAGGAACACTGAATGTGTTTGTGTGCAGTGAGATGAGGTTTTAGTCAGCGATCTTCAGCTGGATCCCGTGATGAACGCGGTCCGTGTCTCACCTGTCTGATCTTCTCCAGCTGTTCATCGTCTTCCAGGAAGAAGCTCAGATACATGAAGGAAACATCCACGTCTGGATTCCCGCCGCACTTCCTGTGCTCCTCGACCGTGTCCTTCCCGCCGGAGAAGGCGTGTTTGTTGATCTGGAACAGCAAGAGCTCGAGTCAATCTCAGCTTCATTCAGTCTTCTGTGTTTGTGAGTCAGAGTGAAGCCTGATGAAGGAGGCGCACCTTGTTCTTGATCTGTTTGGCCGAGTCGGTCAGGAAGATGGAGGAGTTGGCGTCGCTGGCGCTCATCTTGGTCTGAGCTCCCTGCAGCGCCGGGAAGAAGGTGGAGTGAAGCAGAGCCGGCTTCAGATACCCGATCCGAGGAGCCACGTCCCGCGTCATCCGGAAATACGGGTCCTGAGGAGAAGGGTTGGGAATCCAAAATCAATTCCAGAATCGCAAACTTAAGGCAGTGTTTCCCAACCACTGTGGAAAATTATCAAAAACTATCTCTCTATCTCTATTATATTTCGTTATTATTATTTTAAATCGGTGCTATTGGTCATCGTCATGTCTGTTTGTGGGTTTTACAAAATTTTAACCAATGAAAAGCATTCAAAGGAGTGTGTGACTAAACCTCGTAACGCCATTGGATCCTCAAACTGTCAATCAAACCTCATAACTCCACCCACGACACTCAAACAGACTTCTTCACAACGCAAGGGTAAATAAAGAACTGGTGTTTGAATAAGAGCGGTGTTTTCTTTACTCAAGAAACGCTGTCTGTAAGGCTAATGTTCTTGTGTTTGAAGAGCGTGAAAACCCTTCCTACCTTTTTATTTTTTAGTGCTTCGTGGTGTTCCGTGGGATTTTTTTATTTATCAAAACTGTGCTGCAGCAGAAAAAAGGTTGGGAAACACTAAGGTCAGGAATCGGATACTTGTTGTAAAATTAAAATTTAAATTCCACTCATCAATTCCTGAGTGTGCATCTTTTTCTTTTTTTAGCTGGCGAAAAGGGCTGTTAAAAATATATTTGTCTTTGACTCATTCATTCAAGAGATTCGTTCAAAAACACTGATTCATCCAGTAACGAAACGAGTCAATCTTGAGTGAGTCATTGAATCATTCATTCATTAATTCCATCAGATTTTGTTTAGTTGTCTAATGTTTCTTCAGAATTGTGAGAGAACTACAACCTCCATTAAAAACAAAAAGTCTCAGTTTATCCAGACTCGTGCCGCTCTATATTACACACAAACAGCTCTTAATCGAGTCCAGTGTTATTGTAGCCGGCTGATTTTTGTTGATGGTATTCAGAGAGGAGCAGACGTCACGTGATCACGAGCGGAGCGTCTCACCTGATCGATGGCACACGGGATCAGACACTGAACGTCCGTCCGCTCGCCGAAGATCTGCGGGAAGGAGCTGCTGAAGGACGGAGCCGCCTGGATGGCCGGGAAACTGACTTTACCTGCAGAAACACGAGATTAAACACCACAGACAAACACTCGCCGGACTCACGGCACACAGAGACGCTCCTCACCGATGCAGTCGCTGTCTGTGAAGCCAAAGATGCCTTTGACCTGGTTAAACGTCACGTGCTTCTGGACCTTCACCACGTTCCTGTAAAACGCAGGACTCGCTCTGTCAGGAGAAACAGCAGGTCAGGTCACACTCATACAGCGCTGTTCACAGAACATCAGCATCTTCATGTTTAGCATTCATGCATTACAGTCACATTTACCAGATTAGAGCTGGACGATAATAGAGTTACATTTTGAAATATAAACAATCAAGCAGTTGAGATTTGCTATATAGTATATATTGCTTTACATGATTGAACTATATGTATAAGGATAAAGCTGGAAATATATATATATGTGACCCTGGACCACAAAACCAGTCATAAGTGTCAATTTTTTTTAAGTTGAGATTTATACAAAGCTGAATAAATAATCTCTCCATTGATGTATGGTTTGTTATGATAGGACAATATTTGAAAATCTGGAATCTGAGGGTGCAAAAAAATCTAAATATTGAGAAAATCATCTTTAAAGTTGTTCAAATGAAGTTCTTAGCAATGCATATTACTAATCAAAAATTAAGTTTTGATATATTTACGGTAGGAGATTTACAAAATATCTTCATGGAACATGATCTTTACTTAATATCCTAATGATTTTTGGCATAAAAGAGAAATGTATAATTTTGACCCATACAATGTATTGTTGGCTATTGCTACAAATATACCTGTGCTGCTTATGACTGCTTTTGTGCTGCAGGGACACAGATACTGTATATATATATATATATATATACATACATACATACATACACACTATATATAAATAAAAAATATATGTAATATTTAAAATATATTGACGTATATATAATAAATATGTATTTACTGATATAATACTATATATTTTATATAAACTATATAATTATATATTTTATATACACACACTCAACCACACAGTTGTGATGTAATAGCGCCACCTGCTGTCTGCACTGACACACAACACCAAACTGTTGCATTATAAAGACGTGAGCATTTTTACCCCATATAGTCGAGATCAGAGAAGATGAAGGTCTTGTTGACATCGAATACACAGAGACACACACACACAGAGACACACACACACTCACACAGAGACACACACACACAGAGACACTCACACACACACACAGAGACACACTCACACACACACACACAGACAGAGACACACACACACACACACGTCCTGAAGCCACCTGTGACACAGACACACACTCACACACATATATATACACACACTCACACAGAGACACACACACACACACACAGAGACACACAGAGACACACACACACACACACTCACACAGAGACACACACACACAGAGACACACACACACATCAGCGCTTTCACATACTCCCGCTGAACGCTGGCGCACTGAGGAAGACTCACTTGGTGAAGATGAAGGGGATCAGGTGACCCACATGCATGGCCTCTGAGGACGGCCCTCGACCCGTGTACAGATAGAAGGACTTCTGCTTCTCGTACGCATCCAGGATCTGATGCATGTCCCTGCAGATCACAAACATGGGATGAGACCACAGGTGTTCAAGCTTTCAGATGCTGTGATCCTCATGTGAGCCACACACATTTAATACAGCTTTACATTTACAACTATATAGACCCAATTTAGACTGTGAAAAATATTCTTAATGAGGGTAAAATGTTACTATTTAAATATTACTAAAATATTATTTTATTTTAATTAGGTTACATAATTAGTATTTGTTTCTACTCACTATAGAACTGTACTATTATATTACTATTTTGTCTATTTGAAGCTTTTTAAAATTTATTTTAATAAATGTTTTAAAAATATATTTTAATTGTATTATTTAAATATCCTTTTTTACTATTTATTTTAATAAATTTAATTTTTTTATTTATTTAAATATCTGTTTTTACGATTTAATTTTAATATATTTACTTATATATTTGAATCAATGTTTTATTATTTATATTAAATATATTGTTTTTAATTAATTTATTTTGTATTTAATTTTATTTAATCGTTTTCCTCTATGTAATTATTTATTTTAATACACTATTTATTTATTTCCTCTCCCTGTGTTATTGTGATGTAGAGTGCTGGTCAGTCGCACCTGTGTGAGAAGAAGATTCCTCTGCGCAGGAAACGGTGCGGTGTTTTTCCCGTGACTCGAGCGATTCTGTCCACCAGCTCCTGATCGATCTTACTGCTGCCGAACCGCACTGCCAGCAGCAGAACAACCTCGTTAATGCATTATTCATCACAGGTCATTTATGAAAACAGACCTGCAGCAGATCTTCCACGGATGGACTGAAATGATGAGTATAACATCGACTGACCGATGAGTTTATCGTAGTCGACTCCTTTGGCGCTGCTGGAGGAGACGCTCCACGGATCCACCTGATCATCTCCGTCCTCCGGCGCTGCTCCGTTATCCACCACCATCTCACCGTCCACCGGCGGACATCCAGCCTTATAGTCCTGACCGCTGAGACACTTGTAGTCCAGCTTCATCTGCAGCAGCAGCTGCACGGCGGCGTCCACATCAGCCTGAAGAACAACAAAATAATCACAACAATCACATTTCAATCATCACATCACATGTCAACTTCAGCCTGAGGAACAACAAAATAATCCTGTCATTAATCACACCACATGTTATTAATCACATCGCCTGTCAAGAAAGCTCCATCAGTAGATCATTATTATTTCAGTGTCAGACTCACTTTGGGGCTCTTCTGAGCTTTCAGAGACCTCACTGTGTCTCCCTGAGCTGTCAGCTTCTCGTACAGATCCATCGGGCTCAAATCTGACATCTTCACCTGTAATGATGTGAATGTGATTAGTAATATTGTGATAAATGTGCCTGACGCGCGACATATGCTCGCCTGCCGAATGTCAACATTTAAACAGCGATTACAGTCATTATCAGCGCTCACGCCAGTAATAATAACGTTCATTTTAGCATTAAATAACAGTGAAGAATAAATAAACGCACTGTGTTGTGTTGGTAATTTAACTCATTCAGCTTGCATCAGACACACCGCGGCCGCGTCACACTGATAACTGCCCGACAGGAAACATTCACTCCAGCTGCAGCAGTTCCGGTCGCGTGTATGACACGGAGCTGTCAGTGAAAACTTTTTTTTTAAACACTTTCAGTGATACTCTGTTTTACTTTGATAACATTAATACAAACACGCTGTTTAATACAGGATGTATGTTTTATAAACATTGAATATTAAATGGAGACTCTTAGTTTGTCAGTAAGTTCCTCACGGACACGGATTTTAAACGAGGCTTTTATTTTGTCCGGAAGTTCCTCACAGATTCGCGCTTCCGGTGTTCACTGTCCAACGTTTCAAATTAAACACCGCGCGACAGACGCGAATATTAATCGTGTAAACAAGAACAAATAGTCATAAAAACGATTTTAAACTAATATGTGAAGGCTTATGTTATGATATGGACGTGACGGATCAATATTTACTAAGAACTTTGACAGGTCAGAGGATGTTATGTCAGTTATTTTTCGTTTAATGTGAGTTTATGGATCATCTCTTTTCTTGCGATGCTTTATTTTTAACTATGGTAATATAAATGATAATAATCTTCAGATACAGTTGGGGTTTTATTGACTGTAGAAATAGCTTCACATATTTAATAGAATCGTGTGTGTGTAATGTTTTATATATATACTGAAGAGTTCATTTGCAAAAACAGATAACTCCGTTTTTAACAATTTTCAAAAATCATGTTTTTTTCATTGTGCATTTCAATTAATCTCAATCAAACTGCAGTTGGGTTATTTTGATTAGGTTAAAAAAATAACTAAAAATACGGCTAACTAACAACAAAACACAATAAAAACATGATTTTTGAACATTTAAAAAAACCGAGTTATCTGTTTTTGCAAATAAACTCTTCATATATATATATATCTATCAAACTAGGGATGGGCGATATCTTATCGTTTGCAATATACCGTTAAAAAAGTCTCCCCACGATAAGAGTGAGTCTTCCCGCGATAATAACGATAAAGTCTAGTTGTTGACATATTTCTGTGTGCGACTGTGTGGAGTGACGTGAATGAAGGCGGACGTGAAATTCAGCAGCTTCTACAATCTGGAACAGGTTTGAATAATGCTGTACAGTGCGTAGAGCACTGCACGGGCCTCAAATTTAGGCCCGAGTCCGGCCCGTATCCGACAGCTTATCAGAATTACCGGCCCGAGCCAGTCTTTTTTTCAACTATTAAAATAGCTCAGTTTTGTATGTAATAGCAAAGTGATTATATTTCGTTTCGTTTTTTTATTAAGTTAATTTAGAAAAACGTTTGGAGCATTTTTTGTTCGTTAAATATAAGGTTTAGTTTTTTTTAAAGTAACGACCAAGCGGCCAGCGGCAAACAGTGAGCCTATACCTCTACAGACTAACCTAAACTAACCTATAGCCTAACCTGACCCAACCTGACCAGCTGTTACCTCTACAGACTAACTTAACCTAAATTAACCTATAGCCTAACCTGACCCGACCTAACCAGCTGTTACCTCTACAGACTAACCTAACCTAAACTAACCTATAGCCTAACCTGACCCGACCTAACCAGCTGTTACCTCTAGAGACTAACCTAACTGTTACAACCCTTGCTCTAGGGAAGCAACATCAAGGACACAAAACAAGTATAAATGTGCGCTATATCCAATAGTTTGTGCGGAGACGCTTTGCAGGACATGGAGGCGTCAGCATCACTTGCATTTTTTTCAGTAGATACGCCTCATTTTTGCTCATAAAGGTAAGAGTAATCATTCGTAACCTATAGCCTAACCTGACCCAACCCAGACTAACCTAACTGTTACAACCCTTGCTCTAGGGAAGCAACATCAAGGACACAAAACAAGTTTACCAAATAAAATAAGGTTTATTAAATAACAAAAAGGAGAAGAAAGAAGGGACTGTGACAAAACAAGCCCAGCTACTGCCAAGCTGGCTGCAGGATCAGAGAGAGAGTGAGAGCATGTGTCCTGGTGTTTAAAATGGCTCCTTTCAGGTGACGTCAATTAACCTGTTGATTGCAGGTGAGCTACTGAATAACTGCAACAAAACACAAGTTAGAACACTCCCACATAACACTCTTCCCCTTAAAATGTTGCTATAGGACAACCCAATGCAACACTAACATGTACAATAACATAAACGGACACTTATGACCTTGATAAGGCATCTGCCAACACATTATCCTTTCCACGAATGTGACAGAGTTTAAGATCATAACCCTGCAAAAATAAACTCCCATCGCATTAACCGCTGGTTGGAATTTCTCATGCTTTGGAGGAAAATTAGAGGATTATGATCAGTGTACACAATTAGTGAAACACAAGATGAAACATACACATCAAAATGATTCAAAGCAAGAATAAGGGCCAAAGCCTCCTTTTCAGTTATAGAATAGTGCTTCTGATGGACATCAAATTTCTTTGAAAAATAGCACACAGGATGCTCGAGTCCCATTGAATCATCTTGGAGCAGAACAGCACCCACACCAAAGTCACTAGCATCCACAGCTAGCTTAAAGGGCCGACTAAAATCAGAGCAACAAGAATAGGAGAACTACTCAACAAGGCCTTCAGATTGTCAAAGGCATCCTGACATAACTCAGTCCAGAAAAAAGGAACCTTAGGACTAAGCAAATTTGTCAAAGGTGCAGCAACAGTGGCAAAATTTCTGCAGAAACTCCTGTAATATCCTGCCATACCCAAAAACCGCTTTAATTCCCTCCGTGAAGACGGCACCGGAAAGTTCACAATGGCCTCTACTTTTGCTCCTATTGGAGACACATGTCCATGGCCAACAACTTTGCCCAAATAAGTTACGGTGGCTTGTCCAAACTCACACTTGGAGAGGTTCAAAGTCAAGTTTGCAGCCTTTAACCGCTTGAACACATCCTCAAGCTGGGCCAAGTGTTGAGACCAGGAAGAACTATAAACAACCAAATCATCAAGGTAAACCTCACATCCTGCAACTCCTTCCAGCACCTTATTTACCAAACGCTGGAAAGTAGCAGGTGCGTTTCTCATTCCAAAAGCCATAACCTTATAATGGCAAAAGTGGTCTGGCGTCACAAAAGCAGAGATCTCACGGGCTCGCTGGCTAAGTGGAACCTGCCAGTAGCCTTTCAAAAGATCCAACTTTGTAACAAAAGATGCAGAACCAACTTGATCAATGCAGTCATCTAGCCGTGGGAGAGGATAGGAGTCAGGCTTAGTGACGGCATTCACCTTGCGAAAATCTGTATAAAAACGAAGAGAACCATCATGTTTCTCAACCAGTAAACATGGTGAACTCCAAGCACTAGAGGATGGTTCAGCTATTCCATGTTCCAACATATACTGTACCTCTTTGTGCAAAAGCTGACGTTTCACAGGATTTACCCTATATGGATGTTGTTTAATAGGGGTAGCTTGACCCACATCAATGTCATGCTCTAGTAGGCGTGGGCGCTATACCGGTATGAAAGTGACTACCGGTATTATGTTGTTCCATGATATGGCTTTTGCTATACCGTGGATACCGTTATATATTCATGAATTCAAATTTTGCATTTATATAGTTTTGTTTAATTTGGTACGCTTTGCAAATTTTAACACAAATGACGATAAAGAGTCGAGGCTGAACGTTTTTATCATCTGTGTGCAATGCCGTAATCCACAGGCATTAGTAATCAAACACATGGAGCATCGTAACAGACCAAACTAATAGAGCGCAAATTGCCTGCTCCAGTGGTTCCCAAACTGAGGGATCATGTACAGTCAGCAGATTATTTTGCAAAAGAAACCTCTGCAGGGTGATAAAGACTACACTGCATAACTGCCTCTGTATCGTGATACGTATCGTATCGTGACTTTGCTGGTGATACACAGCCACCGTGGATACCGTTATATATTCATGAATTCAAATTTTGCATTTATATAGTTTTGTTTAATTTGGTACGCTTTGCAAATTTTAACACAAATGACGATAAAGAGTCGAGGCTGAACGTTTTTATCATCTGTGTGCAATGCCGTAATCCACAGGCATTAGTAATCAAACACATGGAGCATCGTAACAGACCAAACTAATAGAGCGCAAATTGCCTGCTCCAGTGGTTCCCAAACTGAGGGATCATGTACAGTCAGCAGATTATTTTGCAAAAGAAACCTCTGCAGGGTGATAAAGACTACACTGCATAACTGTCCCGCATATCATGCAGCCACTTGCCTGATAAGTAAATAATTGAACGCAAAATATTAATTTGACATATTTTAATTACCTCAACATGACTCGCAGTACCCGCTTGAGCGCGCCGTTATCAGTTGTAGCAGTTGTGGTTGTATCAATAACAGACCACTAGATGGCGCGATTGAAGAATCAGAGTTATATTGGGTTAAATAACTCTGACACAAAGGACCATTTCAAATATTCATAAGAGAATCATGAAAAAATTGTTTGCTCAAAAATATCAAGCAGCAGAACGGTTTCCAACATTGATAATAATCACAAATTTTTCTTAAGCAGCATATTAGAATGATTTCTGAAGATCATGTGACACTGAAGACTGGAGTATTGATGCTGAAAATTCAGCTTTGATCACAGGAATACAGTAGCCTATATGTTAAAACATTCAAATGGATAATTTAAATTGACAATATTTCAAAATATTACAGTGTTTACTGTATTTTTAATAAATAAATGTAGCCTTGGTGAGCATAAGAAACTTTCCAAAAAAAAAAAAAAAAGAGGGGGTTCTTGAAAATATTTTTCTCTACAAAAGGGGGGCCCGGCAGAAAAAGGTTGGGAACCACTGGCCAACTCAAACATACAATATTTAATTTAATTTAATTCATACAGGCCTACCTCATGTTGCACATTTGCACTTTTTGAAAAAAAACAATGGCACAATAAAAAAATACTTTTCAGGTCTATGTCCAATTCCTCACTTTTTCTAGTTATATAAGGTTAAAATATTTTGCCTGTAATTATTTTTATATATACATATATATCGCAATATAATATCGATATCGCCTGGACAGTGTAAAATATCGTGATATGAATTTTAGCTCATATCGCCCACCCCTATGCTCTAGCACATTAGTACAAGTTGGAACATCAGGAAACAGGGCCAAATGTTGACAAATCAACTGGATAATATCAGTACGCTCAGAAGGATTTAAATTAGACAAATGAGAATCCAAATCAGCCAAAATTTTAGAATTTGACAATCTACCCTGAGCAACCCCAGAGTCAGCAACACTTCCTTCTGTCTCAGTAGATGGAACATTCAGTGCAGCCAAAGCCTTGACCTCTGTACATACAGTTTGATTACGGTCAATGTAAGGCTTAAGTAAGTTAACATGGCACATACGGGTTTTCCTTTTACGATCTGGAGTCTTAACTAGGTAATTACACTCACCAACCTTCCGTTCAATGATGTATGGCCCACTATATTGAGCCTGCAACACAGAACCGGGTATTGGTAAAAGTACAAGCACTTGGTCTCCTGAAGAAAATACCCGATGCTTAGCCTTTCGATCATACCATGTCTTCATCTTCTCCTGAGCTGCTTTTAAATTCTCTTTGGCCAGTTCACAGGCCCTACCGAGTCTAAAACTAAAATTAGACGCGTAATCCAGGAGGTTAATAGGAGTCGAATGTTCAGAAACTAACCACATCTCCTTTACTAATTTCAAGGGCCCCCTCACAGTATGGCCAAACACAAGCTCAGCTGGACTGAAACCAAGAGATTCCTGAACCACCTCTCTAACGGCAAAGAGGAGTAGTGGAACACCATCATCCCAGTCTCTCTCAAACTCTTTGCAGTAGGTTTTCAGCATAGTTTTGAGAGCTTGGTGGAATCTCTCTAGTGCACCCTGTGACTCTGGATGATATGCAGATGAGGTGTTATGCTGAATAGACAACTGTTTCAACACCTGGGAGAAAAGACGAGACATGAAATTAGACCCTTGATCCGACTGAACTACTCTTGGTAACCCAAACACTGTGAAAAACTTAACAAGGGCTCTAGAATCAGCAGGGGCCGTAACTTTACGCAAAGGGACAGCTTCAGGGAACCTTGTTGCTGCACACATAATTGTGAGAAGATACTGATTACCCAATTTGGTACGTGGGAGAGGTCCAACACAATCAATCAAAACATGTTCAAATGGCTCTCCAATGGCAGTGTAAGGTCCACACACTTGGCCCAAGGAAAGTATCCAGTGGTGGATGAAGGTCACTTGCGTGTTCGGTCTTTTCAGCGCGCAGAGTTATTCAATTTAGGTTTAACTGAAATCTGACTCCATTTTATTATCTAATCTGACTCCATTTTAGTATTACCTCGAATTTAGGTTGAAAGGCAAATTGGTTGTTTGTCGGTCTCTAATTATTCTGACATTTGATAATTCTAGTTAACTCTTTACTCTGTATTTTCTCGTTCATTAAGAATCTATTATTTAGGATGCCTCACGGCGGCCGCTATGCGTGGGCTCCACGATCACAAAACTCGCCAGTCTGAACCTTATTCAGAGGTTTGTGGCTAATACTATTTAATATACCTTAAATAGTACTGACCCTTTTGTTG